ATGTTGAATCCCTTTCACAGTTTGCTTTAGAAAAGAAAGTTAAATTCTCTTTTAAATATTTTCACAAAAATAGGTTTTTAGTTTTCATAACTGTTTTTATACTCAGATCGATGGAGTTGCTATGGGTTCCCTTATTGACCCTAGTTATGCTAATGCTTTTTTATGCTATCATGAAAAGTACTGACAACTGAACTGCCCGATGGAATTTAAACCCGAGTTTTACAAGAGATATATAGACGATACATTTTTCTTGTTTAAACATCCATCACATGTACAACTGTTTCTATCCTACCATAATTAACATCATAACATTAAGTTTGCCTGTGAAATTGAAAACGAAAACCAAATTTTCTTACGTGATTCGCTGATTACCAAAGAAAACGGTCGCCTGTACACTACTGTTTACATAGTACCTACTTTTACTGGTTTAGGAAAGCATTATTTGAGCTACGCACCACAGAAGTACAAGATTAATAGCATATCCACCTTTAATCAGCAGAGCATATAGCATTCCCTCCACTTAGTTTCTCTTTCATTTCGAAATGAAATTTGTATTAAATTACTTTGAAAGAAACCCTGAGATTATTTCTGAATGATTAAGATATATGTTCAAGCATTGCTTCTATGGATGTAATAGTAGGTATACTGGATCAACGTCAAGTTGGGTTGGCAAACCAGCGTTCTCTGCTATTCATTAACTCACAATAAACCATCCCTACACTTTCAATGATTTCAAAGTTCTGTCTACATCTCCCAACATACTCGACCTCCTCAGCCACAAAGCTATTTACGGTGTAATCCTATGACCGTAACCACTTGTTTCACTAATGTTATGTTTTACTTGCCTTATGTTTTATAAATATTTATCATATTTTGTCGTTGTTTCTTTTGATAATATTTGTGTGATATTTGTTACAATTTCTGAACTGTTCTTTTCGTGCCTTGTCTTGCTCTTATGTTTTTATTTGTTCATTTTTGTAGCACTGAAGATGAAGACGTGAATTGCCTTTGAAACGTATGCAAGAATAAAGTTCGCAGCATTGGTCATAATTTTCATCAGAAGATTGCGCTTCCCTCATGGCACGTCTATTGCTCTCTCTCTCTCTCTCTCCTCTCTCTCTCTCTCTCTTCTTCTCTCTCTTGTGTGGTGTGTGTGTGTGTTGGAGAGAGTATATATATATGTGTGTGTGTATGGGTGTGTATATATATATATATATATATTATATATATATATATATATATATATATATATATATATATATAATATATATATATATAATAATATATATATATATATATATATATATTATAATATATGTATATGTATATATATATTGTGTGTGTGTGTTGTGTGTGTGTGTGTATATATATATTATATATATATATATATATGTGTGCGAAAAAAGGGAGCAGCGCTGCATAAGTCTCCCCTGCCAGTTTAGCCTCTCCATCATTGAGACTTCTGCAGTGCCTCCTCGTGGCCACCTATGGAAACTGGCACCTTGCGGTCCCAGGCTGAACTGTAGGGATCATCTCGGAGCAGCAGGAGGCCCCAAAGGTACAGGGTTATGGCCCACCGGTGTGTGGACACGCCCTGGCCCTGTACTAACACCTGCCCCTAAGCCCCCTGGGGTCAATGGGAGGCTTGGGGGAGGTGGACCTTGCCAGTCCTCCTCCCCCCAGAGAATAACCCACTGGCAGCGAAGCACTTAATTGGAAATGCTGGGGGGAGGGGTAAAGTCCCTCCTACCCAGCGAGAGAAGCGGGCTGCGGGCCCCGTTGGGAGGGTGGCTGCTGGGGCGCAGAATAGGGATGGGAGCTCCTCGTCCTGCCTGCGTCCTGGCAGCCGCCAGCCCAATATGAAGCTTGTGGGGCGTCCACCCGGAGCGACTACCCGAGGGTTAACCTTAGGCAGGAAGTCAGGGTGGGGGTTTGGAACGTCCGCTCTTTGCATCAGGATGATCGGTTGCCCCTGCTATCGAGGCAACTGGGGAGGCTGAGAGTAGGGGTGGCTGTTCTCTCGGAGGTGAGAAGACCTGGCAGCGGCATGACCAGTGTAGTTGGCTACACCTATTACTGGTCAGGCCACAGCGATGGTCACCATCTCCAGGGAGTAGCCATAGCTGTCTCCGGTAGGCTCCAGCCCTCGGTGGCAGACAGTTGTCCCCGGCGATATATTCGCATTGTTCTGGGTGACTTCAATGCGGTATCTGGCTGCTAGATCCCAGAAATTGAGGATTTCTGGCTCCTGGTACCAGCGCCCAGACTCACATCGTTGGACATGGTACAGCGATGCAGGTAATGAGATCGACCACATTCTCGTTAGCACTCGTTGGAGGATCCTCCAGAACTGCAGGGTGTATAGGAGTGCTGAGTTCTGTGGTACTGACCATAGATTGGTTGTAGCTACCCCCCAGGTACACTTCAAAACACCCAGTGGCCCAATGACCACCCTAGGGTGTTTCATCTGGACAGGCTGAAGGAGAGGGAGTGTGCTCGGAGGTTTGCTGAGACATACTCTGATCAGTTCACAGCGCTTGACAATCTGACGGACCCTGTACTTCTGTGGGACACCTTCAAGCGTGAAACGCTTCATGCAGCCCAAGATTCGATTGGAGAATGCCCGAGAGCAAGACAGAATTCAATCTCTCAGGAGACACTGGAAGCCACTGATGCTTGCCGTGCGGCTCGTCTGGCAGGGGATTGGGATTTGCACCGTTCTCAGGTGCGCAGAACTCGGTCACTGTTAAGAAGGGACAAGGAACAGTTTATTAGGAATCTTGCTGAGGAGGTCGAAGGCCATTTCTTAGTAAATGACCTTCGTCTTGCATAACAAGCCCTGAGAAAGCTGAACTCCAAGCCTTCTTCACAGGTGACTGCAGTTCGCTTAGTGGGTGTCCAGATCATCTCAGATCCTGTTGCGGTGAGGGAACATTGGGCTGAGTACTTTGAGCAGTTGTATCAGGTTGACCCTCCAACAGTTAATCTGGATGTGGGTAGTGCTGTGATTCCGCTGCCGGACCCACCCATTAGCGAGGACCCTCCCTCCCTAGCTGAGGTTAGGGAGGCGATCTCCAAGCTGAAAAGTGGTAAAGCAGCGGGTATTTGCGACATCCCAGCTGAACTGTTAAAGGCTGGTGGTGAACCTATGGTGCAGGGATGGCATGCTGTCCTGGCTGCCATCTGACGGTCCGGTACCGTTCCCTCTGACCTGTTGAGGGGTGTAGTCATCCCTCTCTGGAAGGGGAAGGGGGACCGATGGGATTGCAGCAATCACCGCGGCATCACACTGCTCACTGTACCAGGCAAGGTTCTTGCCCGCATCCTTCTGAGACGTATCAAAGACCATCTACTAAGGCATCAGAGGCCAGAGCAATCCGGATTCACTCCTGGTAAGTCCACAATAGACCGTATCCTTGCGCTTCGAGTCATTGTAGAGCGCCATCGTGAGTTCGGATGTGGGTTGCTTGCAGCCTACATCGACCTCAAGAAGGCGTTCGATACAGTGCATCAGGAATCACTTTGGGAGATCCTGAGACTGAGAGGAATTCCAACAAGGATTATTGAACTAATAGCAAATCTATATACTGGTACTGAAAGTGCTGTAAAGTGTGGTGGGGGCCTGTCGAGCTTCTTTCCTGTCAGTTCAGGAGTGAGGCAAGGCTGTGTTCTTGCACCAACACTTTTCAACACTTGCATGGACTGGATACTAGGCAGAGCTACTGTTCAAAGTCATTGTGGAACAACACTGGGTAATATTAAGGTTACAGACCTTGACTTTGCCGATGATGTTGCAATTCTATCTGAGTCTTTGGAAACCTTAGTGGTGGCCCTCGATGCATTTAGTAATGAAGCGAAGCCCTTGGGTCTAGAGGTCTCCTGGACCAAGATCAAGATCCAGGACTTTGGAGACTTGCTAGGAGAACCTTTTCAGTCGGTACGTGCTTGCGGCGAGGACATTGAAGTCACAGAGAGCTTTACATACCTTGGTAATGCAGTTAATAACTCTGGGCTGTCAGACCAGGAAGTCAGCAGACGGATTGGCCTGGCAGCAGGGGTCATGAACTCTCTCGACAAGAGTATTTGGAGATGCCGGTACCTGTGCAGAAGGACCAAGCTACGGGTTTTCAGGGCCCTGGTAATGCCAGTTTTGCTCTACGGTAGTGAAACCTGGACATTATCCAGTTCACTGGAGTTTCGTCTTGATGCCTTTTGTAATAGGTCCTTGCGCCGGATTATGGGGTACTGTTGGCGGAACCATGTGCCTAACCAACGGCTGCACCGTGAGACCGGCACAGGACCTGTTACCTGCACAATCTGGGATCGCCAACTCAGGCTATATGGCCACCTGGCTCACTTTCCACAGGCTGATTCTGCCCATCAGGTTGTCTCTGTAAGAGACAACCCTGGAGGTCGTGGCTTGGGCAGATCGATCAAACCTGTCGAGAAGAGCTCGAGATGTGCCGGGCCCCTGCCTGGCGATTTGCATTGAGGGATCCCAAAAGGTGAAAGCAGAAGGTGGACGCGGCTATGCGCCTACGTCGGCGTTAGCTCCGGATGATGATGATAATGATATATATATATATATATATTATATATATATATATATATATATATATATATATATATATATATTATATATATGTATAATATATATCTATATCTATCTATATATCTATCTATCTATCTATCTATCTATATATATATATATATATATATATATATATATATATATATATATATATATATACATATACATATACGTAAATATACATGCGCTTCCTTCCTCTCTCTCTCTTTCTCTCCTTCCCCCAGTCTTTTCCAACTTCCGGATATCCCGAATCACTGTCTGCTCCCTCCAGCCACTCGCTATCAGTGCCATCAGCTCACGCGAGCGAGACAAGATACCTTTGCAGTTTGTCGAGTTCGCTGAAAGTGTTGTTATGATGTCACCCATTTTTCGATCACACTTACCGTTATTTCGGCCTCTTGTTCCTCAGAGCCCAAAATTCAAAGGAGCAAGAATAGCGGAGAACACGAGGGCTTTCGACACCCCTTTTCAGAATCATACTTGTGTCTCCGCTAGGAATATACAGAAAATTATATCTTACACTTGGCCCAAGCGAGGCCAAGAAAAAAATAAACATAATCTGACGGCGCTTTTACATAGGCATGATGGCCACAGGTAAGTTATGAGAACATATCATGGGTATCATAAATTTTATTAGCTATAAGGTATTAGCTAAAGAATATATTTAATTATCTGTGTTATATCATCAGCTTTAGTCTAAAGCCCAATTTAGGCAGGAGAATATAGTTGCATTGTGTAATTAAGACTCCGTGAACCTGAATTACTGATGCACAAGTGAGAAATAATTAACTCTGAATAGGATACGGTATAGAACGGATAATAGCTACAACGTAAATGGCGACTGCAACATGGCATACAAAACGCGATAAAAGAACGACTGAAGTTGTCCAAGGTTAAATGTTAATTCATTTATGCATATCATATATCGTTAATTATGGTACAGTGGATCCTACTGCCATGGTTGCCCAAAAAGGTCAAGAGACAACACTTACGACCACCATGAGGACAATTCCTGGGTTACGGAGCCTAACATCGTCACGGAGGTCATAGAGCCAAACGGAATATGGG